CCCGCCGATGACTACGGTCTGTGGGCATTACACAAGCGCTGTGTTCAGCCGCATACAATAGCCCTACTTTGTCCACTCTTTCCTGAGAGCTCCACTGCTGGGGGGGATGCTCTGAGAAGGATGTGGGGGATGATAACACGCACCATTCTGGCTGGCACCACAAGCCAGAGGCAGGACTAGGAGACTGCCATAACTTAGAACAGCTCTTTGGGCTGCCTAAGTTATGCTGGAGGTCATTTCAGCCCCTGCAGCAGCTCAGACTCAAGAGGGCATAGAAGTGGCTTAAAGCCAACTTTGTCCTCACTGCCCTGGGACTTAACCTTCTGTGCTGTGCCTCCTGGAGGTACATTACAGCACAGAATCTGCTCCAGAGCTGAGGAAAGCTGCATCTGACTCCACACATGACCAAAGTTTGGGGGCATTGGGATCTGAGTTTGTCTCTCCACAATAGCACAAATTATTGTGAGTTGAGTGTTTGCCTCTAAATTGTCAGACTAGTTCTTCCTGCAGACCTAGCTCAGCCCAAACCCTCCTGCCCCCATCTCCCCACCTGGCTCTGGTCTGGGCTTGCCCTCAGAAAGATGCCACCTCCTTTGGAGGAGTCCCTTCACTGCTGTACCTTTCTTCTCTGCAGGTAGGTGCTGCTTCCTGGGCCTGTGTCCATTCCCTGGGGGATGTTCGCTCCCCCTCTTGTGTTCCCTCTGCAGCCCACCTCTGTTTGCGCTGCTCGAGCTTCTGAGACCAGTCGCTGAACCCCTCATCCTCTTCCAGCTCTGAGGTCCCTGAGGGCTTAAAGTCAAACCTGAAACACAGCAGGAGAAAGATTAGAACAGCGGCACTGCAAAGGATCAAAGTTGGTACCGATGATCCCCATGCTGGTCATGGTCCTTCCCTTTGCACTAACCTGGCTATCACAACCTTCCTCTAGTAGCTCCTCTCATACCAATAAGGGTCTGGTCTCCAGAATCTCACCCGTCCTCATTCTCCATTAAAGGAGAGGTCACAAAGCAGCCTAAACCACTTAGGAAAACACCACAGAGCAGCCACTTAGGAATTCTGGTATAAGGGGAATCTCTGAACAACACAGCAAGTCCACCTCACCCCCATTCCTGGGGCAAAAGAGACAGTGACCTGTCCTCTGTTCTCCTACTGATTTCTGGCTCCTCGGATGGCCTCGTGGGGCCACAGGAAATCCCGGCATAAGCTAGAGCTGCCTTCAGGCCACCAGTGCCTTCACCGCTTCCTCTAGTCCTGCACTGAGCACAGTTTGGCCAGACCAGAGACTCTGGTGAAAACTCTTCTTAAATGCATTTAGGAACCCAGGGTCCCCTTCATGTTTAGCCTGCAGCTTGAGTATGCCATTTACACTAGTGCCAAGTGGGTGCAAAACACTCCCAAATGAGAATGAAAGTGCTTTGCACCCACTTGGCAGTGGTGTAAATCACAACACACATGCACAGCAATGGATGAGTGAGAGAGGAAGAATGGTCCAGTGGTTAGGGCTCCAACCTGGGACTTGGGTTCAATCCACTGCTCTGCCACAGAGTCCCTGTGTGGCCTTGGGTAAGACACTTAATATCTCTGTGCCTTGGTTCCCCATCTGTAAAATGGGGATAATAGCACTGCTCTCCCCCACAGGGGTGTTGGGAGGATAAATGCATTACAGATGATAAGGTGTGTGGATCTGTGTTAATGGAGGGCGGGGGGGCAGACAAGTGGCTTAGATAGACTAGTCCCCATCTGTCAATGCAAACCTACCTACGTGCCTTCTGCTTCATGCCTCATTGCCATCAATAAGGGTTCTGGGATCGGTTTGTAGACAGCAACTGTTATTGATGATGTGTGAGGCAGAACACAATCTGGCTTTGCTCTTTTGTGTCTTCCTGGACTCTTCACTGCTGGTCGCAGTTTAACAAACTTGCTCTTACCCCAGCAAAGTAAGCAGATATGGATTCAGGAGGGTAGAGCCTTGGTGCTAAGAAAACCAAGGGGAATTTTGCCATTGACTCCACTGAGAACTGGATGTGCCCCAAAGGCGGCAGGTATTGGCAGTGAATAGGTGTCATTTTCCCAGTGTCACTTTCCCATTTGGATTCATAACTGCACTTTATAGTGCTCCTGAAAACACACATGTTGGCAGTTTCCCCTCCCCCTCACCCCTCCCGGCCATGCCACCCACTGCCAATTGCTGAGCTGGCACATGCCAGCGTAGTTTGGCATGGCCAAGTGCTCATCCCTCTGCCTCTTAAAAAGCCCTGCGGGGAGGGGTGGGGGGGACCAAAAGGAGCTTAACCTCTAGAAAGATTTCCTATCCTTCCACTGGTGAGGGGAAAACTCTCTCTTCATTCACCAAACAGGAAAGAAAAGAGGTGAAGAAGAACTTCTATCCAACTGCCAAGAGCCTGCAGAGCTTCATCACCCTGCTGGCACGGCGCATACAGACCACATTCCAAAGCTCTGATGCAACCCAATGGCTGTGATTTAACACAAAGACACAAAAAAGCCCAGTGCACAGTTGAGCGGTAGGTGATCGGAAGGAGGATTGGCTCCTCCAGATCACATGGCTGCCTGCTGCAGAGCAACTTTGGCCCATTTTATTCTCATTGCCTCTCCCTTTCTCCTTCACCATCTAGGCTTGTGGTGACTTCAAGTGACATACCCGAGACAAAGGATGGCCAACCCCAAATGTTAAAAAAATCACGGTCGGGCCTCAAGAAATCTTGAGATTGGCTTAAAACCAATGAGATTTTTTTAATAGATAAATGTGTGGTGGGGGGGTCTTGTTTGTTTTCTGAGTTCGGAGCCTTAGGGAGCATTTGGATTACATACATTTTCCAGCTTTTCTCTGCAACCGCGAGGGCTAGAAACTTACTTTTTAAAAAGAATGAAAGCTGAGATTCTCCTATTCACGTGACTCCAGCAGCTGAGTCTTTGGGGGGAGAAAATCAGCTATCACAAGCCTTGTGACAGCTGACAACAACAGACAGGCCCAGATTTAAGTACCCACAATGCCCCACATCTCCAGAAGGACCCTAGTAATACAAAGATCTTCAGTAACTGGGGTGGCGTTCACTCCTGTCCCAAATCAGATGGTCAGCCAGTGGAGAAGCCAAGGATGTCTTTCAGGGTTCTTCATGATGTTTTCCCATTGAACCTTCCCATATTGACTAAGTGATACAATGACAATCTGTGATGTCACAAGTGAAAGTGGATTAGGATTTACTATTCCTGTAGTTCCTAGAGGCCCCGAGCGAGACACTATGCTCGACTGTATTCATACAAATAGTAAGAGAGTCCCTGCCACAAAAAGCTAACAATCTGAATAGACAGGGTAGGAAGTATGATTCCTGTTTTACCAATGACCAGCTAAAGCACAGACAGGGGAAGAGACTTGCCCAGGACACACAGGGAACTCTGTGGCAGAGCCAGGAAAAGACTCCAGGTCTTCCGAATCCCCGGTCAAGGCCTGGGGGAACAGTGGTCCTTGAGTGGGAAGCTCAGCTCTTAAAGGCATAGATAAAGGCCATATGCCAGTTGGGGGTAGCCAGAGCACAGCCCACTCCAGTCATTCCCTGTCATAACTATAAAGGGAGGGGTAACAGCCTTCCTGTGTACAATACTATAAAATCCCTCCTGGCCAGAGACTCCAAAATCCTTTTACCTGTAAAGGGTTAAGGAGCTCAGGTAACCTGGCTGACACCTGAGCCAAAGGACCAATAAGGGGACAAGATACTTTCAAATCTTGGGGGGGGAGGCTTTTGTTTGTGCTCTTTGTTTGGTGGGAGTTCGCTTTTGGGACTAAGAGGGACCAGACATCAATCCATGCTCTCCAAATCTTTCTGAACAAGTCTCTCATATTTCAAACTTGTAAGTACAGCCAGGCAAGGCGTGTTAGTTTTATCTTTGTTTTCTCAACTTGTAAATGTACCTTTTGCTAGGGTGTTTACCTCTGTTTGCTGTAACTTTGAACCTAAGGCTAGAGGGGGGTCCTCTGGGCTCTTTAAGTTTGATTACCCTGTAAAGTTATTTTCCATCCTGATTTTACAGAGATGATTTTTACCTTTTTCTTTAATTAAAAGCCTTCTTTTTAAGAACCTGATTGATTTTTCCTTGTTTTTAGATCCAAGGGGGTTGGATCTTGATCCACCAGGAGTTGGTGGGAGAAAGGAGGGGGAATGGTTAATTTCTCCTTGTTTTAAGATCCAAGGCGTTTGGATCTGTATTCACCAGGGAATTGGTGAAGAGTCTCTCAAGGCTACCCAGGGAAGGGAATTAGCACATTGGGAGTGGTGGCAGCGGACCAGATCTAAGCTGGTAGTTAAGCTTAGAAGTTTTCATGCAGGCCCCCACATCTGTACCCTAAAGTTCAGAGTGGGGAAGGAGCCTTGACATTCCCTGACCCCAATGGCCTCCTTTTGCCGAGGACAGAGACAGGGGTATGCTCCGTGGCAAATCCCCGGCAGGGGACTGGCAGGTGGTCCCCATTCCCTCTGCGATGCTCAAGAATCTGCCCCCATGTCCCGACTGCAGCCCCTTGACCTTTCTGAAATACCACCCCCAGCACTCCGGCTGCAAAGGTTGGATGCCACTGGGCTGGAGTTTGGGGTAATTTTGATTTCACAGCCTAGTCTCCCCCTTACTCCCCTCAGAACTCAGGATCACCCAGGAGGAGAAGTAAAAGGGGTGAGAGTGGGGCTGGCATAACACTGTTCCCGCACTTCAATACTAAATGGCTTGGCGCCACTCCAGCATCCAGACCTACAGGGAAGCCACCACAGCTGTCTGGGGGGGAAAAAATGTAACCCGGATTTTCTTTGGGGGCTGTGCAAAGCCCCTCCCCCCAAGGAAACGATGAGGGCCTGTTTACACAAAGATGAGTTGCATGAATGGGGTGAGTCACTTTACGGGGGCGTGGTGTTTACACAAGAGAAAGCAAAGACTTATGGAAGATTAATGGCAGGCTGACCCCAGCTCAGCAAGCCAGCCCAGGTGGCCGTCAGCAGCTGCAGAAGAGGCTGGAGAGAAGGAAACGCGATTTTAGAGTGCGGCACAATAGCTCAGTGCTATCGGTGTGAACGTATAACAAAGCAAAGAGGTCGGCTAAGGCTCATCCATAAAAGCCAGAAGTCAAGATGGCCAGCGGGCAGGTTTTGAGAGAGGATGGATTTTACTATCAAACCTCCCTGTTGTTCTGGGGCATCTGGATGTGGGATTTGGGTCCAGGCTCATCCCTACTGAAATGATACCTATAGGTTTCCCAACACTCTCCCTAACCCTCAGCACTCCATCTAGAAATATTTGCATGTGTATTTGTAAAGGGAATTGAACCCAGGACCTCTGGATCTTTATATATATAAAAAAAAAAAAGCACAAACTTCACTGCCTGAGTTAAGGGACTAGCTCACCTCTAGTGCCAAGCTCATAAACCTCTCTATGTTGTCTGCCCGTCAAAGCGGCACAAAGAATCACATAATCCTAGCATGGGTTACTTTGGTCTCTATTGGCCCCGGTGGAAAGATGCCCACAAGCTTCCGAGCTTTTCCCCATCCTCAAAGAGTGAGGCTAGTTCTCCTGCACTGGGGTTATTTATTTTAAATTACAAAGCATGCCTCAGACCTCTCTGCGTTACCTATCGCCTTTCTCCTCCTTCCTTGCGGGCTGATGTTTATCAACAACCTTTTAATCTGCTACTGTACACTTGGATCTTTGGTCACTCAGGCCAAAAATTTCCAAACATAACTGCCTACAATTAGGCTCCTAAGTCCATATTTAGGAGCCTAAATAAAAGTGTCCTGATATTTCAGAAAATTCTCAGTACCAACAAAGCCCACCGAAGGCAACAAAAACTGCCAGGTGCTTGGCATCTTTGACAAGCAGGCCACTTTTATTTAGGTACCTAAATACGGTTCCAGGTTCCTAAATTTAAACATTCAGGTTACAAAATTTTGGCTTTGAGCCTGATTCATTCCTCTTTTTCTAAAACACCTAAAACTCCCAGTAAAATCAATGGGAGCTTGTACTGTGCAATGAATCCCTGCCTATCAACAGAAAGAGAATGACCATGAGCCAAATGGCAAGTCTGGGAAGGGCAGGTCTCCGCTCCGGGCCCTCCCTTAATACAGCTGGGGATTTTGTTCCTATTTATTTGTATATTGCCAGAAACTGTCAACCCCCCACTGTATCATATATGACAAATGGATCAAACACATTTTCTGTAATTACTCCCCCAAAAAGTTGCCCCCCCCACACACCTTTTTTCTCTATTCTTCCTTTCCCTTCCTTGTTTTGCTGTGCCTTTTTCACTCTTTTCAATGGGACTACTAAAGCTAAACACACGCATAAGGCCCACTCCTGTAAAGACTTACGCAGGTGCTTAACTTTTATACATTGTGAATAGTCCCCCTTGGTGTAAATGGGACCATTCACGGGGCATAAAGTTAAGCATGTGTGCAAGTTTTTGCAGGGTAGGGCCTCTGTGTTTGCATTATTGGGGGTGCTATTTTTTTTACTGTCACTGCTGCTTTGATGCCTTGTGCAAGTCACTTAATTTTGCTGTGGCTCTAGACATCTGTAAAATAAAGATATCTGCCTCAGCAAGATGATTTGAGACTTTGTTAATGAATGTTTGTAAAGCGTTTTGTGATCCTGGTATGAAGGGTGGTCTAGAAATGCTCTCAATTAATATTATATGGCACATCTTACATTTTTAATGAAATGCGTTTCTTTTTAGAGTGGTAGAAGTATTTAAATTTTCCAAATATTGATGAAATGCTTTTCACAAAGAAAGGAAACATTTTCACAAGAATTTGAAAATAAAAATCTTGAGAATTTTTTTTTAAATCCTGAAGAAAATTGAATTCTTTTCATGAAAAATTCTGTATTTTTTCACGAAAAAATTAGAGTTGTTTTCATGAATAAATTCAGATGTTTTCCTTTAATTTTTTTTCACAAACAAATTTTGATTTGTTTTCCCCATAATTTCGTTTGCTGTTTTTGTGCCTTGGTCCTGATCCTACAATCACTTATGCACATGCTCAACCATCAGTGGTGAAGTTAAGCACATGTATAAGTGGTAGCAGGATGAGGGCCTTACAGAGCTGGTTGACACTTTTTAAAAATTCAAATGAAAAATTATCACTATTTTTTTCAGTCAGCTCCACTTCTTGTCTAACTTGGGCCCTGATCCTACAAAACACTTAATATGCTTAAACAAGTTCTGTAGACTTCAACAGAACTATGCATATCCTTAACGTTAACCATGTGTTTAAACACTTTGCTGAATTGGGGTCTTATACATCAATTTAACCCTTATTGAACTCTCCTCATTTAAACTCCTAGCCCCCTGCATTTTTATCACCTAGGAAAATTAAAAACTGTCCCCCTAAAAGGGTTGTTGGCAGTAGGAATAGAACCTGGGATCTCTGAATTTTAAAGCATAAGCATCAATCTAAAAAACCCTCCTTTGCCAGCTAATCCCATCAACCTTTTGATGTAGCCCAGCCACCACTAGACAGGAACAGAGCAGCACACTGAGTGGGTCTGGGTAACACAAGCACTAGCATATAGTGAGGATTTTTAACACTAGAACGGTGCATGTTTGAAGAGTGTTCTACATTCAAGCTCGTCTTACTGGTTTTCCTGGACTGGCAGCCCACTCTCTGAGAAGGAGTTGGTGTTGTTCAAGCCATCTTCTGCCTGGGACCGCTGCTGTTTCTCCCGTTCCCTTCTACGCCGCTCTCTCGCTGCCTCCTCCTCATCCTCTACACTCCACTGTGCTGTCAGCCTGTCAACCAGAAGGGAAATGCATTCTTAATGCAGGCAGCCAGTTCCAAGAGAAGCAAATGAAGGGAAAACGTCCTGGAATCTCAGGAGAAAACACAGCACTAGGTGGGCCCCATTCTGTGAGCTTCACTCCTGCCAAGGAGCACTTACTTACCCTAGCAGCATGCCTGGAAGCCAAGGCACTTGTGTAAGTGCTACACAACATGAGAAAGTAGGATTGCAGAATCAGGCCTTATATGAGAGGACTGGATTGCTTCTTAGGGGATGGGTAACAGTGTGTATGGTAGAGTCATAAGAACATAAGAATGGCCATAGTGGGTCAGACCAAAGGTCCATCTAGCCCAGTATTCTGTCTTCCGACAGTGGCCAGTGCCAGGTGCCCCAAAGGGAATGAACAGAACAGGTAATCATCAAGTGATCCATCCCGTCGCCCATTCCCAGCTTCTGGCAAACAGAGGCTAGGGACACCATTCCTGCCCACCCTGGCTAATAGCCATTGATGGACCTATCCTCCATTGGTGGGAGGGATAGCTCAGTGGTTTGATCATTGGCCTACTAAACCCAGGGTTGTGAATTCAATCCTTAAGGAGGCCACTTAGAGATCTGGGGCAAAAATCAGTACTTGGTCCTGCTAGTGAAGGTAGGGGGCTGGACTTGGTGACCTCTTTTCAGGGTCCCTTCCAGTTCTATGAGATAGGTATATCTCCATATATTAATATCTAGTTCTGTTTTTGAAATTATCTAGTCTTTCACATATGACGTGACAATATGTCCCATTCTAAATGTTTCATGGGGATGCATCCATTTCAATGAAATTTTCAATGGGAAAAAAGTAAGAACAAATCGTTTCTCATTTTGTTTCAATAAGGTAAAAACATTTCTTTTTGACTATCATTGCAAGTCATTTCATGCTGACCTTTATACTAAATATCGATTTCACTATTACATTATATTTAATATGTTATAGGTAAATATTTTACTATAATATGAAAATCAACATGAAATAAATTCAAATGATATGGTCGAAATGAAACATTTTGACTTTATCAAAACAAACCATTTGAATGGTACCAAATTTAAATTTTTCAGAATTTTCATTCTGTGGGAAATTTCAATATTTCAGCTTTTATTTCCCATTTGGAATTTCCCCCCTCCCCCTCCCCCTCCCCCACCCACCGCAAAATGCTGGAATTTCCCACGGGACAGAAGTTCTAGTTTCCAACCAGCTCTGGTATCCCACAGGATGCTCAACAGCACGACTCACACTGCCTCAGTGGGGGTGCTGCTGAGAAATCCCACACTGCAGGGAAATTCTTCCTACAGCACCTGGTACCACCTACGCGATAGGTATCGCCCCCACAGCCTGCCCATGCTTGCTGCGGGATAGACGTCCTGCTTTCTCGGTTTGATCATCTGGTCGTTTTCCCTATGTGTCATCCAGCCTCAGCTGGCAGTGACTGAAAAGGGCATGTGAAAAGAGTGTATGGATCTCTGTCCAGGGGGCAGCTATTCATATCACACTATATCATGGCAACTGATGGCCTTTCTGGCAGGCTCAACAAAAAGATCTAGCATTGGATGGCCTGGGAAACTAAATCACCTTCTAACCCTTAGGTGAGAGTTGAAGCACCTTGACAGGGCCGCATGGGGGAAGTGTGCTGCGTAGCTGTTCTGTACATGATGGTCCTGATTCAGGAAAGGACTTAAGCAAGTGCACTTAAAAGGGATTTCAGCACATGTTTAAGTGCTGTGCAGAGCAGGGATTCGTTCCATAATCTGGGCCAAAGGAAGGATTTCAGCCCTCAGCTCTGTTAGTTCTGCCCCCTGCAGTAACATTAAAAGAATGACAAATATTATATATAACAACGATCCAGTTCTCGGAAATCCCAGGCCCTGAAGCGGAAAGGTTGCCCAATACTGTGAGAAATCCAAATCCAAGTTTGTGGGCCCCTGAACTCCCAGGGAGAGAGCCCTACGCAGAGCAGACCTTGACAGGTTTTCTTAATCAGCTGAGTAGTTATATTTTAATCAGAATTCCTGTGCCAAGCTGTTCTCTTGCTACAGTGGTGCAGGGAATGTCGGAGGAGGGTACCCAGCGCTATCACTCAGCAGGGCTTCAGCTGTGCTCTGTACTGTTTCCTTCCTCCCTTGCATAGAAGAAAATCCTGGCTTGGCTTCTCCCAGAATGTCCCAGCCTCCAGATAATAAACCCTCTGTCAGCAGAGCGACCTCTCGGATCCCAGAGGAAACGATAAGGCCGCAGCAACATTCCTACACTGGTGATAACATGAATTTTCACGCGGGATCCGCTCCTCCCCTTCTCGCCTCTTTCAGCACCATACTGATCTTGGCGTGAGAGGGACAAGCCATATCAGTGACCCTACCAGTCTAACTTCAGCACAGCAGAACACCAGCCCAGCCCTGCCAGACTCCTGCTTCCACAGGGTCTCAGACTACAGCTGTAATAGGGTGAGGCCTGAGTCATTCATGGCCCCTATAAGCAGGGCTCCAGCTGAAATAGCCAGGGCTCCAATCCTTTTGCTTCACTGTAGTGGTGAGTCTATCTGACCCTACCCAGTTGCTGCCAATGAGCACTCCCGCTCAGTACAAGGCGCCAGGTTAATGAGGGCTCCAGATTGAGAGCGGGATTTGAAGGGGGCAGATGTTCCCCTGGAGATATTTTTGCAAACATACATAAAGGAGAGCTTTGAGCAAAACATTGGTTTTTGATCAAAGAGCAAGGTCCTTTGTTATGTTGATGATTTGTAATGAGAGTAACATCCAGAGGCTCCAGGAGCGAGGGCCCATTGTGCTAGGTGCTGTACACACCAGAAGGCTGGTGTACATGTAAAGCTGCACCAGCTTAACTAAAGGCGTGATTGGAAAGTAATTTAGTTATACTGGTGCAAAAGGCTGTGTGGACATGCTTATTGCAGTTTAAACAAGGCTCATTTTTAAATCTTTACCTTAAATCGGTTAGGGATAGGTTTAAGCAAAACCTAAATAAACTACTCAAACCAGAATAAGTATGTTCCCACAGGGGTTTGCACCATCTTAACTAACCTGATGCAAACGGGTGTGTAGACAGGATCATAGAGAAAGATGGCCCCTACCCCAAACAATCTAAACAGACAAGACGGAGAAAGTGTGGGGATGGGAAACTGAGGCACAGTAACTTATCCAAGGATGCACAACAGGTGACTGGCAGAGCTGGGTAGAGAATACAGGTCTCCTGACTCTCAATCTACTGCCTTAGCTCTTAGACCACACTGCCTCAGAGAAATTATTGCAAAGTGCTTTCCCCAGGCAGCTGTCAAGAGGCATCACTAAGGTGTCTCAAGCCAGGCATCCAAAATCATCAGTTACCTTTGAGAATCTTGGCCAGCATATTTGATGTTTCTTTGACTAGCTTGTTTCCCAGCCTTTTTTTGTGTGTTCTCAGACAACAATGTGTCTGAGCTCACTCCATTTAAAGCTTCTTGCCATCCCAGTGTGGCACTACAGCACATGGCAAGCATGCCAAAGACCTCAGAGGAGTTGGCGAGGAGGACTGAAAGAGCACAGAGAGAGTGGAGATTCCAGCTCACTAGTGGGGTGTAGCAAAGTTACAGTGCACAGCCCAGCCCTGATTTCTCGTTACCCCACCCCACCCCGCCACACACACAGGAATGGGCTTCTCCTGCCATCACGACCCAGCACCACTGCCAGAAGGGACACTGCATTTTCTAAAAATTACATAACATGAATTAAATTGCACCCCCCTTCTCCTATCCTGCCTCCTCCACCCTGCCCTACTCCACACAGGAACAGAGAGCATGAAGCCACGAGAAACAAGACCCAAGCAAACCCCCTTCTTCATTCATTCCACACTCATATTTACTGTTTTCTCCATAGTTCCCATAGAAACAGTTGTCTGTGGTCCTGGCAAGGAGCCAAGGTGGGATGGGGGGGGGTTAAGATATATAAATGAAGTCATTCATTAAGCTCTGCCTCAATCTCCCTTTTTTATGTGACAGAACTTGATAAGAGTCTCTGATTCAGAAAGGATCTTAACCCCGTCTGTCCTGGACTCCCCCAGTCATAAGTGTGAGGGCCACATTTTTGCCAGAGTGAGTGGGATTTTTGGAATTCACCTGATATTCCCCAGGGGGCTGCAGTGGGACAGAATTATAACTACTCCCCAGGGATGAACTGGAGTCTCCCGGGGGGGCTCCAGTAAAAATTGTGTGACAGTCATTTACATTATCAAATGAGCTTGGCTTGCAGCCCTCTCTGTTTCCCTCTCTGTTGGATTCTCTCTCCATGACCTCACCGGCTCACTATTCTGTCACTGCATCTTCTGAACTGGCTGTGTGGAATGTGAACGGAGGACAATAACAACAAGAACAACCATATTGGGGGGGCAGGAGGGAGAAATTAAAATGATTGCTCGGCCCAGTCGAAAGATACCCACCAAATTCACCCTGCCAAAGGACAGCCTGGCGTATTGGCTTCTCTTCCAACTGACCCACATTGCAATTATCCCAGTGCTGAGAGCCTCTTTGCCATAAACATGTGGGTCGCTGCTTTCTATTGTGCTGCACAGTGCTCAGAGGTCCGGGGCCTCCAGCTGGAGGGAAGTGCCGTCATGCTGAAAGCCTCTCCCAGGCTTCTGTCAGGAAGAGGGGGTGCACCGAACAGTCCCAGCTGCAGCTCAGGCTGGGGTTTCTCTCTGATGTCACTTGTTTGTCAATGGCGCTGCTAAAAATGTCCCGTCTTCAAAACTTTGGAGCAGATTTGGTGAATTTCAGTGCTCAAGAAGTGTAGGGGCTGGGAGCACTGGCCAGATCCGGGCATTGCACAAGCAGCCTCTGGCCAAGCTGTCTTTACTACAGCTCTGCCAACGTGACTCCAAACTGGCCTGGATGTAACACACGTGCGCAAGCTCACTCCCTGCCATTCCAGTCCTAAGTAGGAGCTGCTAATCACATAGTGGCTTAAAGAAATGGATATTATCCACTA